ACGCTCTTCTGTGTCCTCAGGAGCGCTCGAAGCGCCTGCCAGAGATCGCAGCTGCAGCCGATGCGGTGGTGTCTCACATCGACCAGACCGCTCTCGCCGTCTACTTCACCCTGAAGACGGATCCGCGGCCCGACGCCGCCTCCATCAAGAGGTACTGAGCATCAGCCGTCTCTTACAGTTAGAAAAATAACTTCTACCAGATTTTATTTGGGCTGCACTAATTATTTTGTCATGTATTGTGATTGCAATTTGAACATATTTACTTATTGTTATGATAATTGAAACCGTTTTAAAAATTAAGACGATAGATAACCATTTTACTGGAAATTAAATATATTCTTATTATTAATAATAATAATAACAGTAGTAATAAATGGTATTATTGTTATTATTAATGTAATAATTTAAACAATGTTTTAATAATTAAGACAATTTATAAGCAATGGCTTACCGTTGTACTGGTAATTAAAAATATTCTTAATAATAATAATAAACTTTTTATTATTAATAATATTAATAATAATAATTATTATTATTATATTGTAATTTAAACAATGTTTTAAAAATTAAGATTTATTAGCAGATTGTACCATTGTGCTGGTACGTAGAAAATACCTCTACTACTAATAATAATTTAAACCGTTTTAAAAATTAACATTGCAATATATTACTGTTGTACTGTTAACTAAAAAAATAATAGTAATCATTTAAACAATCTTGTATATAGCCGATATAAAATAATATATCAATATATTACCTTTGTACTTTTGAATAAAAAACTGAGTATTTACTACTACTATTATTATTTTTATAATTATTATTATTATTATGTAGTGTTAACTAAAAATGTGTAGTGTTAAGTAAAATATGTATATTTTATCATCATTTATAATGATAATTAAAGTTTTATTTTACACAACAATAGTAAAATTTCACTACTGATATTCGTCTTAAATTCTTCCCTTGAAATCATCAAGCTTTTGAAAACTGCAGGGAAACATAAACCTTCTGTTTAGTTGACAAAGGAATTATTTCTCAACATCATGATCATTACTACCGGTCAAAAGTTTGGGATCAGAACGATTTTAATGTTTTTTACAGGAGTCTCTTCTGCTCAAGGCTGCATTTATTTGATCAAAAATACAGGAAAAAATGTAATATTGTGAAATATTATTATGATATAAAATAACATTTTTCTATTTTAATATACATTAAAATGTAATTTATTTCTGATCTTCAGAAATCATTCTAATATGCTGATTTATTATAAGCGCTGGAAACTGTTGCTGCTTCATATTGTTTTGGAACCTGTGATACTTTTTTCAGGATTCTTTGATGAATATAAAGTTAAAAAGAAGAGCATTTATTTAAAATAGAAATCTTTTCTAACAATATACACTACCGTTCAACAGTTTGGGGTCAGTACATTTTTATTCTTTCTTTTTTTGTAAGAAATTAAAACTTTTATTCCGCAAGGATGTGTTAAATTCATAAGAAGTGATAGCAAAGATTTATATTTTGAATAAATGCTGTTCTTTTTAACTGTTTATTCATCAAAGAATCCTGTAAAAATAATGCAGTTTCCAAAAAAAATATTTGGTAGCCAACATTGATAATTCTAATAATAAATCAGCATATTAGAATGATTTCTGAAGGATCATGTGACGCTTTATACTGGAGTAATGATGATGGAAATTCAGCTTTGCATCACAGAAATAAATTATATTTTAAAGGATATTAAAATAGAAACCATTATTTTATATTGTAATAACATTTTGTTTTTTTCTGTATTTTTGATCAAATAAACACAGCCTTGATGAGCATAAGAGACTTCTTTTAAAAACATTACAAGTCTTACTGATCCCAAACGTTTGAGCGGTAGTGTACATGCTTCAGGATCATTGGTGTCGAGCGTGTCTGGTGTTGTTGCAGTGACATGGAGAAGCAGAAGGCGTCTCTGCTGGATGCGCTCTGCAGGAAGGGCTGCGCTCTGGCGGATCAGCTGATGCAGACGTCTGCGCAGGAGGACTCCAGCGCAGCTGAAGTGGGCAGCTCTGAGGACGACCCGCAGGCCAAAGCGCTGACAGACACCTTCTGGGAGCTGCAGAAGTGGACAGAGCTCACCGACTCTAAGGTACGGACGTCCAGTGTTTACAAGTGTGCTAGTTATTTCATTACTGTAATATTCATGCATGCAAACTCACTTTTTTGAGATCAAAATAGTCCAGTGAGAAAGTAGGGGAGGGGGGGCTCGGTTGCATAAATAAAGAACTAGGGCTCGGTTGCATAAACTGTTTAGACTAGTCTTAAAACGTTAGTCATCTAATGTTTTTTCTTCATGACTGCTCATACCTTTTTTAATACCGTTATGAAAAGGTAGGTTGGTCTTATTTGTATTGGAAGAGTAAGACTGATCTTGGCAGCTGCTAGTTGGTCAAACTAGTTTTTAAGACACAAGTCTTAACATGATGGCTTCAATATGTTTTGTATAGTATTTTCTTTAATCTTTACTTTGAAGACTGTGTCTAAAAAGGGTGATATTTGATGTATTTGAGGTCTGAGATGTGGGAATGCTGAAGAGAGAAGGCAAACATTTTGCATTTTAAGTCAGCATTAGCTAATATTATTGTCTTAAATAGCCTGCATCGCACTTCATCGTTTATAACATGAGGTTTTGACCAAATATAGTCAATCGTGATTTTTGTAAAATGTTGCAACAAGATGTAATTTAATTTTTTGACATAAGGTAATTTAAAAAATATTTATAAAAAAAAAATACCTTAAAGTAACTACAAATTCTCTGAATATTTTATTTGACATGAGGATATCGTCTTTGCAGGTTCTAGCATTTTCCTACAAACACGCGCTGGCAAATAAAATGTACGCGAGAGCCTTGAAGTTCGCGACTAAGATCGTCGAGGACAAACCCAGCAAAGAGAACTGGAAGAACTGCATACAGGTAAGAGTTTCTGAAAGATGTCAGCAAAGCTGCATTTATTTAATCAAAGATGCAGTAAAATTGTGAAATATTATTACAATTTAAAACAGCTGTTTTCTGTGTGAATATGTGTTAAACTGTCATTTATTTCTGCGATCAAAGCTGTATTTTCAGCATCATTACTCCAGTCTTCAGTGTCACATGATCTTCAGAAATCATTTTTCATTATGACAAAAGAAATGCATGCTATGAGACAGAAAGGCGAAATTAAGATACAAAGTCAGGAGATATATGAGAAGAGATAAAATTATGAGATACTAAATCTTAATTACAAGAAAAAGTCAATTATGAGATAAGTCAGTTATGAGTCGAAATGTTGAGATACCGTGTCATAATTACAAGAAAATGTACAAGAAAAGTTAAGAGAATATTTGATAGAAAGATTAAAAAAGGCATCCATTTGAAATAGAAGTCTTTTGTAACATATACATTTCTTACTGTCATTTTTGATCAATTTAAAGCATCCTTGATGAATAAAACTATATTTCTTTCAAAACAAACAAAAAAATCTTACTTATCACAAACTGAATTTGCATAAAGCTCCTCAGTTTTCCACATACTCTGTTATTTGAAAAATCCCACACACTCTCATGTTTTGTATTTTTATTTAATATTTTGGCTGATGCTGTGTCACGGTGCTCTGATCTCCATCTAACGCTTTTCTGTGTAACTAAACACTTTCTGCATAATTTCACTGATTTCCCTCATAATCAGTGCGGTAAATGTGGATGAAGTTCTGTTCTCCTGTAAAACGTGACCCTGGAGCACAAAACCAGTCTTAAGGGTCCATTTTTTGAAATTGAGATTTATGCATCATCTGAATAAAGCTGAATAAATAAGCTTTCCATTGATGTATGGTTTGTTAGGATCAGACAATATTTGAAAATCTGGAATCTGAGGGTGCAAAAAAATCTAAATATTGAGAAAATCATCTTTAAAGTTGTCCAAATGAAGTTCTTAGCAATGCATATTACTAATCTAAAAACTAAATTACGTTTTTATATATTTACGGTAGGAAATGTACAAAATATCTTCATGGAACATGATCTTTACTTAATATCCTAATGATTTTTGGCATAAAAGAAAAATGTATAATTTTGACCCATACAATGTATTGTTGGCTATTGCTACAAATATACCCCAGCGACTTAACACTGCTTTTGTGCTGCAGGGTCACTAATAAGATGATTTGTTGTGTTGTGCGTCTCTGCAGCTGATGCGCTCTCTAGGCTGGATGCACCTCGTCTTGTACTCTGAGAACTGGCTGCCCATCATGTTCCCGTCTGACTACACGTCCTTCTAAAATCGTTCATTTTTAACCGAGGACACGACACTTTTAATGCCTTCAGGAAGCAAACACTTCATATCACACGGTCCTTCATGGATCCCACAATGCCTTTCTGTGCGGATCACAGCAATGAACCCACAGTTCTCATGCTACAGCTTGAATCATATCGCTGTGTTTTACATCATACTCGCGTGACGCTCCAGCCTTTGTCTCCTTTTAAGGGGAACTTGTATAATAACTTGCATTATGTAGTTACTGGGCATTTGCACAGTGGACATTTTTCCTCTTTTAACAACAATAACAGCGTAAAGGTCAGATGAGCTTCTGAACACAGAAAACGTCAAGGCAATATGATGGACAGCGACTAAAATCAAGGAAAACTAACTTTATTTCTGCATTTTGTTTTTAAATTATTGGGTGAAATATATATATTTTTTTTTTATATGATTGACCCTTGTATAAGTCAAATGCATGCATGTTCTATAAAGACACAAGTGTCATTTCATGTTCATGTTTCATGTTCAAAAGTCTGAGCTTTTGTGTGATTTGAAAGTCCAAGTTTTCTCATGTTCTGAGCCTGGGCTCGAATATTTCCTTCTGAATTTGTCGTTTGTGTGTAAGTGAAGTGGAGATTGTCACGCTTTCTTTTAGCGTTTAAATGTGTGCGCTCATCTTGTGTGTCTCGAGTGATTCTTCAGGGTTTAGACATTGAAAACGGATCATCTCTGCATATCACTTGGTGAACTGCAAATAATGATTTTCTTCCTTAGTATTTTTGTCTTGTTTTCTTGTATAAATATCTACAAATTCTGGATTTAAGATGCATTTACTTGACAAGTAAAATGACTTAAGATATTATGTCTTGTTTTCTGAAAATATTACTCAAATTTTGTTAGTTTTTGCTTAAAACGAGCAAAAATATCAGTCAATGGGGGTAAGAAAAATTATCTTAATTCAAAGGCTAAACAAAATTATTTTTCTTACCCCATCGGCAGATATTTTAACTTGTTTTAAGCAAAAACGAACAAATTTTGGATAACTTTTCAGAAAATAAGACTTAATATCTTATCCAAATTTTGTTAGTTTTCGCTTAAAACAAGTAAAAATATCTGCCGCAGAACCTTCATCAAATACACTGTTCAGCACATTTACCGTGTTAACCAAATAAGCGGCTGTTACTTCTGAAACGTCTCACGAGGAGTAATGGATATAAAATAACACCTACCTACTCTATGCATGAATTAAAATGACTCTAAAATATTGGCATTACCCAGTATTCATTTATACTTTATAAATACAAGATATCCATAAATATATCTGAAGATATTCAAGGGTTTTTGATACAGAATTCTGTGATATTTCCTGAAGAAACGCAGAGGTGGACGGGCTTTGATGAATATTTAAGGCCATTTTTGAAGAACCTGTCGTTTGAGCTCCGAGCATCAGCGAACAATGCAAACACACGTGATAGAAAACAAAACTAATAAACAAAAACCTTGTTATAATCTTAATTCAAAGGCTAAACAAGATTATTTTTCTTACCCCATCGGCAGATATTTTTACTTGTTTTAAGCGAAAACTAACAAAATTTGGATAAGATATTAAGTCTTATTTTCTGAAAAGTTATCCAAAATTTGTTCGTTTTTGCTTAAAACAAGTTAAATTCTCTGCCGATGGGGTAAGAAAAATAATCTTGTTTAGCCTTTGAATTAAGATTATAACAAGGTTTTTGTTTATTAGTTTTGTTTTCTATCACGTGTGTTTGCATTGTTCGCTGATGCTCGGAGCTCAAACGACAGGTTCTTCAAAAATGGCCTTAAATATTCATCAAAGCCCGTCCACCTCTGCGTTTCTTCAGGAAATATCACAGAATTCTGTATCAAAACCCTTGAATATCTTCAGATATATTTATGGATATCTTGTATTTATAAAGTATAAATGAATACTGGGTAATGCCAATATTTTAGAGTCATTTTAATTCATGCATAGAGTAGGTAGGTGTTATTTTATATCCATTACTCCTCGTGAGACGTTTCAGAAGTAACAGCCGCTTATTTGGTTAACACGGTAAATGTGCTGAACAGTGTATTTGATGAAGGTTCTGAATAAAACTATCTGGAACTGACAATATTTTGCTCATTTTTTGTGACAATTTAACACATTTTAGTACAAATGTTTAAAAAAAAAATTTTTTTTTTTTTAATAAGTTATAACAGATTGAAGAACAAGTTTGAATATTAATGGCTCTTTCCACCCTCTCTGCCAGAAACTGTATTAGAAACCCCTTCCTAACTAGTTGCTGTATTACCCAAGGTAATATAATGCATGGTTTTAGGTTCTTTTGCATTTCTACTCATCAAAGAGGAGCACAACGGTTTTCAACACTGATGAGAAATGTTTCTTGAGCAAAAAATCAGCATTTTAGATTGATTTCTGAAGGATCAAGTGAGACTGACTGGAAAAATGACTGCTGAAAATTCAGCTTTGCCATCACGGGAATAAATTCAAATAGTAAACAGTTGTGTTCAATTCAATTGAAATAATATTTTATTACTATTTTTGCTTTTTTTTTTTATCAAAGAAATGGAGTCTTGGTGAGCATAAGACACTTTCAAAAATAGTTAACTTATACATTCACAAAGTTAATTTGTGGAAATTAATCACAATCTGTTAAAAGGGTCATTTCATTAAGTATGTAAATGAAGTGCACTGATACAAGAAATACCATAGAGTACATTTTAACACCTGTTAAAACCATTATGTTTTTGAAGACAATAACCACACTGACACCCGCAAATAAGTTTGGTATCACAAGACGAGGCAACAACATAGCTGGACAAATAATTTATTTCTGACATCTGGAAGTCTAAAATGTTTAAAAAAAAAAAGGTATTTTTTTTTTTTTTTTTAGATTCACATTAGATTACGCTTTCTGATATAGTAAACAATATTTGTAAGATAATAGTCTTGTATGGTTATGTGCATAGCACAATAATTAATTTTCATTAAGACATGTATTTCATCTGAAATTAACTTTTGATTTCTTAAGCACAGAGTTCTCCCATTACAGAACTGTTTTCTCAGTATTTTACATTGTTTTTAAATAATTTAAACTCTATTTAAACATCCTAAACTTGTATTGCTCACCATTTTACCCTCCGGATGTGTTTTTTTTTAAAGGTTCAATAATTATGCCTATGTTTTGTTGGAATTTTTGTTTCGTGAATAATTCATTACAGTATTTATTGTATATTTGTGCAAAGGTTTAGTTACAAACTCTATAAATTCTCTATCCTGTTGTAGTCTAGGTTCACAAAACAAAATTTCAATCGGATTCGTTTTCATAAGCGTCTACATCTATAATCAGCATGGCTTTATTTTCAGTGCAGACAATTCGGATTTGTTTTTCAAAACGCATCTTGAGGTTTTAATGTTCGTGCTGTTCTTTCGCAATTGATCAAATCAGAATGAGTTCAATCCAAATCAAACTGAAAGATGACAAAAACAACTTGAATTCTGAATTGACTGGAATGGAATGGATCTCATCTAATATCACATGAAACCACGTAAATGTATAGTCTGAAAAGAAATGTGAAAATTGAAATTAAACCAATCAAAAAACAAGTAAGTAATTGGATTTGAGTTGGCCACATATAAAAGAAATCCTATTTAGTTTGAAATCTGAGTTCCACAAAGTTGGTATACGAAGATTTGACAAGTTAGCAAAAAAGAATTGGGCCGATCCAAATATTATAACACTGCCAACCTATTGTTATAGGTCTTGGCCCATATTTGGACGCCAAATGAATATATCTGGAAATGACCTAAAGATGCTGATTTGATAACTTGCAAACGTCGATGTTGGCAGATTGATGTAAAAAACCAATGGGAGTTGTCTGCAGTGTGAACATGGTGTTGGTTCCTTAAACAAATGTGAGCCACAGCCACATATCTTCACCTCCTCTACCTGTGCCGGCAGTGTAGTTCAGAAAGCCTTCTCAAAGTGGTGCATTGAGGTTCACGTCATCAGAATCTCATGGTAGCTGAGTAAATCCTCACCTCGTCCAGCTCTGTCAGTAATGTGGTGTTAAAAGCTTTCTGAAAGTTCTCAATAAATACCAGATCTGACTGATACCGGACCTTGTTTGCAAAGATTACCGTTGTCCCCATTTGACAGAAGTGAAGCATGGTGTCAAGAAGCTCAGCGAGGCAGTCGTGGTGATAGACCACATCAGCTGCCAGCACGTAATCGTAATAATGCGTGGAACGGGGAAACGTCTCCTCCAGTTTGTAGCCCCATTGCAATGCTGTAACCTGAGGCTCGTGTCTCCAGTGCCACCTGGTATTCCGGTTCAAGTTGCACCTCAGATTACCGAGGATTTCTGGCAGATCCGTGGCTGTCAGTTTAGCACCTACAAAAGTTTTGGTCTTAAGCTTAGTCTAAACCAGGGGTGTCCAATTCTGCTCCTGGAGGGCTACTATCCTGCAGAGTTTAGCTCAAATCCTATTTAAACGCACCTGAACAAGTTTAGTCAAGGTCTTTAGGATTACTAGATACTCCAGGCAGGTGTGTTGGGGATGGTTGGAACTAAACTCTGCAGGACGTTGGCCCTCTGGGAGAAGGATTGGACACCCCATGGCTTAGTCCAATGGTTTCCAATCACGTTCCTAGAGCCCCCCAACAACACTCCACTTTTTGCATGTCTCCTTTGTAGGGATGGGCGATATCTTATCGTTTGTAAAAATTCTCTCCACGATAAAAATTAGTCTTCCCCCGATATAACGATGAAGTCTAGTTGTAGACCTATTTCTGTGGGCAACAGTGCAGAGCGACATCACGGAAGGCGGGCGTGAAATTGAGGAGGAGTTGATCGCTAAACGAGGAGCTCCTTCTACAATCTGGAACTTGTTTGGTCAGGGCTGTACAGTGCGACAAAAAATCGGTCTGAGCCTTGAATAAATGTACTACAGTAGCACGTGTTGCTGATTTGATAACTTGCAAACGTCGATGTTGGCAGATTGATGTAAAAAACCAATGGGAGTTGTCTGCAGTGTGAACATGGTGTTGGTTCCTTAAACAAATGTGAGCCACAGCCACATATCTTCACCTCCTCTACCTGTGCCGGCAGTGTAGTTCAGAAAGCCTTCTCAAAGTGGTGCATTGAGGTTCACGTCATCAGAATCTCATGGTAGCTGAGTAAATCCTCACCTCGTCCAGCTCTGTCAGTAATGTGGTGTTAAAAGCTTTCTGAAAGTTCTCAATAAATACCAGATCTGACTGATACCGGACCTTGTTGGCAAAGATTACCGTTGTCCCCATTTGACAGAAGTGAAGCATGGTGTCAAGAAGCTCAGCGAGGCAGTCGTGGTGATAGACCACATCAGCTGCCAGCACGTAATCGTAATAATGCGTGGAACGGGGAAACGTCTCCTCCAGTTTGTAGCCCCATTGCAATGCTGTAACCTGAGGCTCGTGTCTCCAGTGCCACCTGGTATTCCGGTTCAAGTTGCACCTCAGATTACCGAGGATTTCTGGCAGATCCGTGGCTGTCAGTTTAGCACCTACAAAAGTTTTGGTCTTAAGCTTAGTCTAAACCAGGGGTGTCCAATTCTGCTCCTGGAGGGCTACTATCCTGCAGAGTTTAGCTCAAATCCTATTTAAACGCACCTGAACAAGTTTAGTCAAGGTCTTTAGGATTACTAGATACTCCAGGCAGGTGTGTTGGGGATGGTTGGAACTAAACTCTGCAGGACGTTGGCCCTCTGGGAGAAGGATTGGACACCCCATGGCTTAGTCCAATGGTTTCCAATCACGTTCCTAGAGCCCCCCAACAACACTCCACTTTTTGCATGTCTCCTTTGTAGGGATGGGCGATATCTTATCGTTTGTAAAAATTCTCTCCACGATAAAAATTAGTCTTCCCCCGATATAACGATGAAGTCTAGTTGTAGACCTATTTCTGTGGGCAACAGTGCAGAGCGACATCACGGAAGGCGGGCGTGAAATTGAGGAGGAGTTGATCGCTAAACGAGGAGCTCCTTCTACAATCTGGAACTTGTTTGGTCAGGGCTGTACAGTGCGACAAAAAATCGGTCTGAGCCTTGAATAAATGTACTACAGTAGCACGTGTGCAATACAGTTTTGCATGTATGAGCCGGTTTACAAACCTGTTGTCCAACAAAGATATAATTTATTGACATGCTTTTTCTTCAAATTAACTTAATGACATAGTTGAGTGTTTGAAATAACTTCTTTTTGTTATTTCTCTATCTCCATTGTGCGTTTTATTCAGCGATAACTGGATACCTTTGTCCATATTAGGGATTTCCTGGAGCGTCATCAGTAGTGTATTACTTCTGCGATGCATGTGGAGTTTCTGCGCCCTCCGGCTTCCAGTATGAATTAAACAGTCCTTACATTACGTGTGTACTCATTAATGCTCACAACACCCTATTTTGGGTAAAAAATAGGAAAGATAATACTTTTCTCTTAAGAAACAGGATTCCCTGAATTATCGTCATTGATATCATTATCGCAATAAATACCAGAAATATCCTGATATATTTTTAAGCCCATATCGCCCATCCCTACTCCTTTGTCTGACAGACCCATTTCAGGTGTTGGAGTAGTATCAGCCTCAGATGTCACGTCCACGGACCATTGGCTAAACGTCTGATGCATACGGCACACAAAATTGGAAACACTTCAGGAGTTTCAGAGTCGTCATCGGATTGGTTAAATTATGCAGGATTTCCAGGAGATGGGTGCGTCGTGTTCTTTAATGTTCCTCCTGGCCAAACCCCTCATGGAAGAAAGCCGTCGTGTTTACAACTGTGACGATTAGCGCTTATCAGGATCAACTAAACACTGGATTATGTGAAATATTTAAAATTTGCGGCATAGAACATCTAAACAATGTGTCAAAAGAGTTTTACACACCGGTCTGTTATTGTGGGGGACATTTCCACGGCCCTAAACATGACGTGACACAAAATGAAACGTGATTGGTTGCTTTACCTGTCAGTCATGTGGTCTTTTGGGCGGGCCTTGGCCATTCAAAGCGGCTAAGGTTCCCAGACCTTCTGCCATAAGTCTGAAGGTCTGGCTACGCGAGACTATGCAAACTGTTCATTGTTGAGGGCTTCAGGAACGTGGTTGGGAACTGCTGGTTCAGAGGGTAGGCAAGTTCAGACCTAGAGAGCCGCTGTCCTGCAGAGTTTAGCCCCAACCCTAATCAAACAAGCTACTCGATGTGAGTCAGGTGAGTTTTTTTTTTTTTCTGGGTTGAAGCAAAACTCTGCAGGGCAGCGACTCTCAGAACGAACTTGCCTACCCCTGGCCTAATTGTATCAAATATTGACACGTACCGAGAAGTGTGGCAACTATCGAGACAAGGCCTGTTCCTGCTCCGAGCTCCAGCGTTGATTGGTCAAGTAGATTAATCTGCTGTCGGCCCGTTGGGGTGTCCAGAAATCGGCAAAGGGCCAATGCCTATGACATTCAAAACCAGGAGTTCATAGTTTCCATTAGACTCCATGTATTTTACCTTCTCACAAAGCACACATATAGATTCTTCCTAATATGACAGGTTGATATACTGCTGTGCTGTTGAACGTTTAATGCTCACCGCTGGCCATACCACACCGCCATAATGGTCTATGGCTTCTTGAATTTTGATTTCATGACCGAGAAAGTAGTAGATCTCCTTGCTAAGACTGTAGTAGACGGCGGGAGCCCAGGATCTGCGCTCTGGTGGTTCTGTGTTGGCAGGTACAACTGAGGGAAAGATAGAAGAAGAGTATCCCATCAGAAAAGTATCCATAGGCCCTTTCGCACTGGAGGAAGCTTACGGGAACTATTGGCGGAAGTTCCCGCTTTTTGGCACCGCAGGAACTAGGAACGTGTTTAGTTCTAGGAAATCCGTTTGGGGGAACTAATTCAGAGTAGGGTCTAAAACAGTTCTATAGGAACTACCAGTGACCTAAGTGTACGCTGATTGGCCAAACGCATACGAAACACTGGCTTCCTGTCATTTTTAAAAACCGGAGTAAAAATATCTACCTGTTGTTTGCAGCGTTTTTATTCTTTTCTCAGCCTCGATGATAACACTGCAAGTTGTCATACGAAATTTAGTTTTTCTGATTTTTACTTTCAAATGAGTACATTGTGCATCTACATTTCATCTCAGTTATCACGAAACCCACGACACAACAAAAACAACTCCGAACACTGCATCCTCCATTCACCGGTTGTTGATGTTTGTAAATGCAGTGAATAAAGACTTCGCTGCCGGTGCGAATGCAACTCTGAAGCGACTGACAGCGACGTCTTTATTCGTGGCATTTACAAACATCAACAACCGGTGAATGGAGGATGCCGTTATCGGAGCTGTTTTTGTTCTGTGTGTGTCGTGTGTGTGTGTCGACAACTTGCAGTGTTATCATCAAGGTTGAGAAAAGAACACAACGCTACAGGCAAATGCCATTATCGCTGTTATCCATGTTCGTGGAGTAAATATTTTTACTTGGCTTTTTAAAAATGCCGGGTAGCCGGTGTTTCGCATGCATTTGGCAAATCAACATACACTTACATCACTGATAGTTCCTATAGAACTGTTTTAGACCCTACTCCGCAGTAGGAGCTAAATTAGTTCCCCCAAATAGAGTTGTTAAAACTAAATACATTCCTAGTTCCTGCAGTGCGAATGCACCAAAAAGCGGGAACTTCTGCCAATAGTTCTAGGAACTATGAAAAGGTTCCTCCGGTGCGAACGCACCTATATAAGCGCATTGGACCTCTACAATATGCTAGGGCTGGGAAAATAAAACTTACATCACTGATAGTTCCTATAGAACTGTTTTAGACCCTACTCCGCAGTAGGAGCTAAATTAGTTCCCCCAAATAGAGTTGTTAAAACTAAATACATTCCTAGTTCCTGCAGTGCGAATGCACCAAAAAGCGGGAACTTCTGCCAATAGTTCTAGGAACTATGAAAAGGTTCCTCCGGTGCGAACGCACCTATATAAGCGCATTGGACCTCTACAATATGCTAGGGCTGGGAAAATAAATTGATGCATCGCGAATCGAGAAATGATTCCGCATCGATTCTGAGATTTTCCAAATGCATCGCGATTCTTTCTCGAGTCGATTCTGAGCTTAGTTTTGAACAGCAGATGGCACTTTGTGCTTTAGAAACAGCCGTACTCTGCTTGTTTCCAAGTCCTTACACACACTTGAACCTAAAATAATCATTCATAAGATTCGAAAAGGTTGAAGCGAATCACAGTGGGCTGTGTTTACATTAATCTGGCATCATAAAAGCATTCTGAGCCGAGGTGAAATTACAGATTCAGCAGAACGCACAAGCGCTCTTCTTCGTGAGCATTTGAGTGCGCGGATAAAAACTAGTGTAGAGTGCCATCTGCTGTTAAAATCTAAGCTCAGAATCCATTCCAGAGAGAATTGCGATGCATTCGGAAGATCTCAGAATCGATCCACGAATAGATTCTGCATCGATTTATCGTCACAGCCCTACAATATGCAAGCCTAACCTTCTTCCTCTTCCTCTGCAGGTCTTCCCAAATCCTGGAGTTCTTTGTCTACTTGTGCCTCATCTGGCGTTTGAGTATCATCACATTCCTCTGCATTGTTCCCGGTCTCGTTTGTAGAGTTTGGCTCCCCAGCATCATAATTGTCCTCCTCTTCCTCGTTCATCTCTTGAACCTGGTCATCTCTCTGCTCCAGTGTCTTGCTGGTTGCTACGTAAATCCTCACATCATCCAACTCTTCAAGGAGCGTGATTTCAAAATATCTAAGGAAGTTGTCAATGAAGCCCAGATCCGAAGCATAGCGGACCTTGTTCGCCCAGACTAGAATAGTTCCCGGCTGGCAGAAGTGACGCATGGTGACCAGCAGCTCGGCCAAGAAGTTGTGGTGATAGACCACATCAGTCGCCAACACATAATCATACTGGTGTGTGGATCTGGGGAAGAACTCGTCCAGCTTGTGACCCCAGTAGAGTTCTGCAACCAGGGGCTCGTGTCTCCGCCGGCCTCTCGTGTTCCTGTTGAGGTTGTATCTCAGATTACTTAGTATCTCGGGTAAATCCGTTGCTGTTAGTTTGGCACCTATAGAGCAATTTAAGTGATTATCTTGCAACCTACAAAACCATTTAGATTAGTACCCGAGTCTTATCCCAACACTTACCCAATAATGTGACGACAACCGAAAGTAAGCCGGTTCCGGCTCCAAGTTCAAGAACTGATTTGTCGAGTAAATCAATGTGTTGATGACCCTGCGACGTTTCCAAGAATCGGCAAAGTGCAAGTGCCTATATGGAAGGATTACAAATCATATTTTAAAAGTACATCATGTTTGTTTTGCTTGACTGTTTTCTTGGACTATATGCAGCATCGCACAAAAGCAAAGTTCTTAGGTTACTGATGTCATCGCTGATCTAGGGCCAGATTTACTAAACGGGGCAAATTAGCGCAAGAGCGCAATTCCAAAGCAGCACCGATGGACGTGTAAATTTCTGCAGGTGATTTACTGACGATGCACAAATGAAAGAACACAGCAACATCTCATTTACATATCAACCAATGCAATATACCAATGCTCATCAGGTGCGGGTTATCTACTTACGACACAGGCGCAAAATAGTTTAAGTAGTTTTTTGGGGCGTTAAATAATAGTGCAAATACCAGTAATTTGATGTTCGTAAACGTTAGTAAATCGCGTTGTGTGATTAATTTTAATACTCTCCTCCCATAGATTTTGTGCCTGAAAGGGAAACTCCTACAAATGCATATTCAATAAGGTCAGGCGCAAAAATAACTGTCCACGCCTTTTCACCTCTAATTCTTCACTGTGCGTCTTTAGTAAATCTTGACAGTACTATTTTAACGCCAAAAGACAGTTTGCGTTGGTGCAAGCTGTTAGTAAAGCTGGCCCATACTCTATTCACATGTGCATTTTCTCTCATGATTCATTGTTCTGCAGTTGAAAGTGTCTCACCGCTGGCCATATAGTAGCACCGTAAGAATCGATGGACTCCTGAATTGTAATTTCCTGGCCCAAAAAATTATAAACTTCTTTCCCGGCTCTGAAGTAAATAGTCGGTGCCCAGGATCTCATGTACTCCCGTTGTTTATCATTCTCTGTGCTTCCATCTAAAAGAAAAGACCAAATCAGACTCGAATTCATTAGATAAGCCAACTGTGTTTTAGAACAAAAGTCACTGACCAGATTTCTGCTCTACAAACGCTGAATCCATCTCACAGCAGCCATCGTTGTCTTCATCTTCACTATCATCAGGTTCAGTTTCAAGGTTTGTGTTGTCGTCATCGATATTGTTCAGGTTTCCATCCTCCTGGTTTTCCACATCAACATAACCTGTAGCCTGCTCTTCTATAAATTGTACATCTTTCTTTTCATGTTCTTGAACCTGTTCTACAAACTTTTGTTCTATCCACTTGATCTTTCCTTCCTTCATCTCTTTCTTGGTCTTTTTGTTGACCGTTTCATCCTCGTCCACTCCTTTCCTCGCATCCCCTTTAGTCTCGTCTGACGTCTCTAGGCCACTTTCTTCTCTCGTGGTGGCAGAGTAAATCTTTACGTCTCCGTTGTCTGCCAGCAGGTTGGTGTTGAATGTTTTTTTGAAGTTCTCCACAAACACCAGATCAGAATCGAAGCGGGTCTTGTTGGCCCATATGAGGGTTGTACCCGGCTGGCAGAAGTAGCGCATGGTGACTAGTAATTCTGCTAGGAAGTCATGGTGATAGACCACGTCGGCTGCTAATATATAGTCGTATTTGTAGACTGAATGAGGGAAGGTCTTATCGAGCTCATAACCCCAAGAGAGCTCTGCCACCTGCGGCGTGTATCTGCAGCGGCCCCGTGTGTTTCTGGACAGGTTGCATCTCAGGTTCCCGAGGACTTCAGGCAGGTCAGTTGCTGTTACCCAAGCACCTGGAGATGATTATACAGGTATGAAAACACAACACAACCATAGGCTTGTAATATGTTATCTAATCCCACTCCTGGAGGGCCAATGTCCTGCAGAGTTTGGATCCAACCGGCTCCAACACCCTCACCTGGATGTTTCTAGTCTGAAGACATTGATCGGCTGGTGCTTATTTAGGGTTAGAGCTAAACTCTGCAGGACACTAGCCCTTCAAGAACAGGTTTGGAC